CACCACGAGCGCAAGCTGTTAGCAGCGAAATATTTATATTTTAATAGATTACAATAAAATAAAAACAATACAATAAAATATCAGTATTATAAAATTCATATGTGTCATAATGTTGAGAACACCTAATTTCGCATAAATTTTATTCACGTGATCATAATGAGATAGAACGCATTAAACGCTATTTAAGTTCATTTTTTGCATGATTGTTAAGTAATTTTTCCGAATATATCATGCTAGTAAGTGACTTCATGTAGCAAAAGTACATAGCGCGTTATCAGAATTAAAAATTGCGAATATGAGATTTTACACGCTCGATTACAATTATATTTTCGAAGCGTTTGACGCTTAGGTTATTGTTATATAAAAATTTTTTTAGTCCATAAAATCATATCAAATAATCCAGAAGCCAATTGTCGTTTTTTTGTCACAAAAGTTAGTCGAACTTATTGAAAGACATAATTTCGAGAACTGTTCAAGAGTCAAAAAGAAAATATATATATAGTTCAATGTTTTCCAAATCTTGGATTCCACAACTCAATTTATTGTTAACACAGAATCTGGAAATTATGTGTTTCAATAAGTTCGACTAACTTTTGTGACAAAAAAAAACAACAATTGGCTTCTGGATTATTTGACATGATTTTATGGACTAAAAAAATTTTTGTATAACAATAACCTAAGCGTCAAGCGCTTCGAAAATTATAATCGAACGTGTAAAATGTTCTATCTCATTATGATAACGTGAATAAAATTTATGCGAAATTAGGTGTTCTCATTATGTAAGTCATAACACATATGAATTTTGTAATACTGATATTTTATTGTATTGTTTTTATTTTATCGTAATCTATTGTATTAAAATATAAATATTTCGCTGCTAATAGCTTGCGCTCGTGATGTATGCCTTTTTAATCACATTGTTTTGTTTTAGCCACGTTTTGACTTCTATTATTCTTACATTTTAAGTTTAAAGTTTAACTATTGCTCAAATTTTTAATCTACGTTTACTTCAAACAAAAATATAGTTTCCTGACGATATAAGTTCATATTTAAGTTCTTTTTTTGCATGATTATTAAGTAATGTTTTCGAATATATACCATACTTGTAAATGACTTCATGTAGCAAAAGTACGTAGCTCATTATCAGAATTAAAAATTGCGAATATTTCGTTCGCAAATATACGTTCCTAGTATCG